AAATTAATTTTATAATAACAAATTAAAAAATCATGTCATGTAAAAATTTTCAAAACATTAAATGTACCTATCAAATAGCCTTGAAGCCTGGCGGCAGGCGCCCTAACACTATTATACTGATCTGTACTCCTCACTTCAGCTAATTGTGTGTGTCAATAATAATAATAAAAAAGTTTAAACATGTGTAAGTGTAATATCAAAAGCAGTTTTATTAACCGGTAAAATGGTTTGCAGCCCGTAGTGGCAACCTTTGGACGGAATGAATTATTGAAACGACGTTGTTTCAAGCGCTTGTCCCCTGTTTCCGAAAATTTACAAACCCCTAAATATGAATTCCTTCTTGGTTAGTTTGGGAACATGAATTTGGTGAAATGTATTTGAATTTCAACTTTCTAAATTCAATATCACTGTTTGTTTTTACTTAAATAAGAAGTAATTGAATTTTAAAAAAATACATGTATTTCACCTGTGTAATTCAAAAGGCTAAAACTTGTGTATTTCAATTTCACCCTGAAACCCATGAATTTTGATTTCAAATTGAATTTTCTCTACACTCTCTTCTCTCACCGACGACGATGAAACCTCCATTGTCCGTCCATCTTCTCCTCTACCATTGCTCTCCACCTTCTCATCGTCGGTCATTCACCACTCCGCCGGGATGGAGAAGGAAGGACGATGTGGTCGGTACATCACGTAGAGGACTATGTCGGCGATGGAAGCGAGGAGGGCAAGGATGAGGAGAATCAGAATGGACCAGAAGCAACAATGACAGCAAAGGTTGCGCTGGGAGCGATAGTGGTGGCGGCGGTTGTAGGGAGGAGGGCGGTAGGGAGGCCGGGAAGGTGGGATTATAAAGATTGGACTTGGTGGGTCCACCGTTGGTGGTTGCAGTCGTGGTTCCGGCACCATTCATGGTGACGGCGACGGTGTTGGTAGGTTTGGTGGAGGAGAAAACTCTGTTCGTCATTGTAATTGGAAAACCAAAAACAAAAGAAGAAATGGTTCAGATTTGCAGGGCAATGGCTGTTGAAAGAGTGAGATTTGAAGACAGAAAAGTGAGGCGTAGATTTGGCCACCTCACTAGAATTGACGAATCTCTTGTACTTCTAATTCTACTCTGTAAAAATTTAATGGAGGAAAAAGTATTTTACACTTAAGAATGTTTTAAGTTTGTATAATT